AACGACTATTAGTTGTCAAATCGACTTTAGGGCTATAGAGCCCAAAAGTAATAGTCTTGATTTTCAGACAATTGTACCGAATGGTCATACGTTGTATGCTGCGCAAAGATTCAATCAGTTTAATCTTGGCCATCACAAGAGGTGGATTATTGATGTAGACAAATACTCATGTACCCCTTACAACTCTTTTCATGTATGTTATTACCAAAGAAGAAAAAAGCCAGTCAGTCACCCAATAGTGTCTGACAATGAAGTCTAGCAAATAAACGGGTTTCCTTGCATAATTTGAATATGAGGACACTGCTAACATTTAAATTTCACAGATAGGACATACATGTCATATTCATAATTCCTGCAAAGTTCTACAGAATTTGAGGTTGGCTGCAAAAGGGACATAGTACCTTTGACTGAGCTAGGACACATGTTCACCTTCAATCGTATGATGGATATCATTGCATCGTTGTCTCGAGCATTCAGTGGAAGTTTTTGTTGACGCTGTGAGAAATTGTTTTTTGCGTTATCACAAAAACATAATATAACCACCTAAAGCATTTACTTTCTCTTGTTGCTGACGCTGATGCTGAGAAATGACAGAAAGGTGAAACTCTGTTTCATCGCATGAAGAAGAGGCGTTGTTGCCCTTTTGCAAATCTCAGGTCCTCCAACCTTTTGTCGAAGTAAACAAACAATCATCTTTCCTCATAATCGCTTGAAGTGAAACACCCCCACAAAGATGCCCTCACTCATCCCTCCATCAATCTGTCTTGTTTGAAATTGCCGATTTTGATTGCTTAGCTGCTTTAAAAATGGAGAATTGTGAAAAATTGGTCGATCCTTGTAAACAAAAGCAATATGCTATAATCTTGTATTTTCATATACGCTGCAAAACAGCCGTACATAGCTTAACAGCTTATTAGAAAACGTTATACCGTTAAAGAAAATAAAACTACCGTGATATCTCCTATCTATAATTTATTTGTAAAGCGCTTTAAGAGGGCCTGCCGTCCTCAAAGAACGAAGTATTATTATAATTTTCCTAAATTTGAAAGGTCTTGACAGAATTCTTAGCTTTCCTGGATCAATGAGGTAATTTGAAAACACGCTAATCGTACAACAAGTGGAAAGTCGTTATACGATATTTATCATGGATTTCCTTTTGTTTTTCATATTTACGTGACATCTTGTGAGATGATATAATATGTGAGTCGCTCTTGTTTAAATGGTTATGTCAATATATTACTTAATATTTAAAGGTCAAGCAAAAACCATTAAAATGTACGGCTTCTGCAAATTTACCACAATGATTGTACGCTATGTGAAGGTCTTTGGAGTTAACTGAAGCCACTAGATTAAAGCCAAATCACTTAGAGATATATTGTTCTAGATAATGAACGATTTCACTGAAATGTCATTTGGTAGATCACCGCTATCTAATGACGTGTACCGTTAATAATTGATATAGTAAGGAGTAGACACGCCCTCCCGCCCCCACCCGCCCCCACCACCTTCCTTGTTTTCCATACGCTGTGCTCTTTCAGATGTGACTATTTTGTTCTTTAACTTTGGTGTGATTCAGTCTTACCGAGACCACCAATTTGAAAACAAATGACTCCAATATTGTCAACATTTATGCTTTATATTACTACTTCTAAGGACTACCTAATAATTTGATAAAATGCTTTTGTTTACCCATCATGAAAAATCCTTATTCGGGAAACGCGAAATGAATTTGTGATTAATACCTACAACACGACAATACTCATCATTTAGGTCAATATAAAATGATTCCTTCGACATGTTTGATATGACTCTGACGTTTGTAAGTTCATTCAATTGTGAAAGCTCTAGTATTTTATCTTAACAAAAACATGATCACAGTACATTCCTTTTCATGTGATGCTATCCAACCATGCAAATAGATTCACGAGTTATCGTACTTTGGGTTTCAACCAAAGGATTAAAATGACACTTCAATAGGAAAGGTTACTTTTGACTGCTACGAGCAAATTAGGAAAACATTAAATGAAATGCCACATAAAAAGTAGGTTGAACGCATCATACAACAGGGCCAAAGACATCTCTGAGCTACGGGGAAATCAACTGCCACTATCGCACCGTGTCCTAGAGACACTGATTGACGCGGACCGGCTGAGTAGGCAAAGGGCACGACTTCCTCTGGGCTACATTCTATTAGTCTGCAACCCTCATGATCATGGCGCTGTGGGTATGAACCGAGCCAGTGTGTGTTTTTTACGCCATCAAGGTAATACCCCCTTTAGAAATTAGATCATACGTGGGTTATTTACAAGTGAAACAAGAAAATAATTTCCCTTTTTTCACAAAATGCTCGTTTGACAGCCGCCCCTATCAACGTCCCCTATTGCCAGACAGGCGTATGATCCTAAAGGTCAATTCATAATCATAGCTACAAAAAAATGCAATTCATTTCGATTTGTTATGTCAGCCGCGAACATCAATCGATGCGTTGAATTTTGAAGAAAGTAAAAACAAAAATAAATTTTCCATACATAGTCGCATACATCTGATATTTTTTTTCTCATAATTTTCAATATATCCGTACACGTATCCACTACAAGACGTATCTTTGTACTGTTTTACCTTTGTCGAATCGTGAAATAGTGCCCAGAAGCAAGGCCTATTCGTGTGCTAAACATACAGATGCCTTGGTCATGGGCATGAGAGTGTGAGTGAGAGAGAGAGAGAGAGAGAGAGAGAGAGAGAGGCGGGATGGGGGGGGGGAAGTGATATGGGGATAATAGTGGGATGATTTGTAAATTCAGCTTCCTGTGGACATTATTTTTCATTGAATATCTCCAAAAAGTCCCAAAATATATGTGGATTAGGACATCCTTTAGGCGTTCTCTTGTCCTGTATGATCTATCCTTCACTAACAGTATGGCTAAGGCTCTTCGATCCCGATCAATGTTGACCAAATCAGGACTTCAAGTACGGAAGTTATTACTGATGTAAATCATACATTTTTACAATAAATATAGGCCTGTATCACTCCATTGCAGTCAAACCTAACTTACAATTTGAACAATAATTTAACCAACAATATTACTTTAATTGCATTAGACTTACTCTGTGTTTTCATCTTTACGATTTTGATAATCACGTTTGCATTAACCTTCATTAACACAAACATTGTTTTTTCTTTTATCATGAAATTCAAATTCATTTCCTTCACGATAAACTACTGAATCCATTCGAAATCAGTAGTCGTATTTCATGTTGGTTAACTGACCGACGAGCCGATCTTCTACCATAATCCGAGATGGGCCATGAAATGATCTCATCCTAAAATCAACTGGTCTAGTTTCTGCCTTTAGATGGACTTTAGAATCAAAATAGTCGATAAGATGAGTGTTTGCCTCCCTATAGCAAGTTTTTTTTTATCATACACCTTCACAGTCAAGTTGCAAGATATCACATTCAAATACTGCACTAATGGTAATCTGTCAAGGAAATAATATGGTACGCGATCAAGTGTAATTGCATCTTGAAACGTTTAAAATCCGACTGTCAATATTTTCTTAATTATAAGATGGCGCAGCTTTCACAGTACAGTAATGCTGCGAAAATCCATCCTTTAGAGGCCTGCTTCAGGTGCTAAAATAAGTGCATTCATGCTATGCTCTCCTTCGAAACATTTAACACTAAATAAAGCACGCTGTAAATTCGGGTTGGTCATCTTTGCATTTAATTACACGTTTTTGACACTACATTACGAGACACATCCATACAAAGTAACATACATAAATCAAAAATGCAATTTATAGGTTTAAATTTAAGATTTAGATTGAAAGGGTGAATTGATCGTCTTTTAAGTGCGATTATTTTCTGATTTTGACTTTTTACGAACCATTTTATATTTACTGACAATTTAAGAAACATTTCGAAATTACCATCCATTAGCATTGAAACAATTTTACAAAACAATAAATATGGTCATACGAGTTATCTATCTGAGAAAGAAGACATATTATTCTTAGGCTATACAGTACACCATAGCCTATTAGTTTTTAAAGACAAAAGGCCTACACAAGAACAAAGTCTAACTTTTTTTGTTGGAGTCAACATGATATGTGCTTTCAGTTTTATTCAATGTATCTCTTGTATAATTCAGGGTTTATGGATGTAAATCATCCGCTGTATGATTGAAGAGTATTTAGTCTGGTAAATGTAAGATGAGGGCCGTTCCGATATATCATGCGTGGTTTATCGTAATTCCTACAGTGCAGCACCATAGAGATTCGTCGAACACAAATATAATATATTACGATCTATTTACACTAGTTACAGAACATTTACAATGCATGTACATTCTTCTTATTTACATATCTATAATTGATACATATTATGGTTTCTTTGAGCTGTCTGGGATAGCACATTTAGCCAGTCAACGATGATCCATGATATTACCGATGCCTCAAAAAGAGTGCAAGGTATATTTGATTGACATATCTCTTCCACAAATTGTCACTTATCAAAGATACTATGTCCCTTTTGCAGCCAACCTCAAATTCTGAAGAACTTTGCAGGAATTATGAATATGTCATGTATGTCCTATCTGTGAAATTTGAACGTTAGCAGTGTCCTAATATTCAAATTATGCAAGGAAACCCGTTTACTTGCTAGACTTCACTGTCAGACACTATTGAGTGACTGACTGACTTTTTTCTTCTTTGGTAATAACATATATAAAATGAGCTGTAAAGGGTATATAGACATTTGTCTACATCAATAACCCACTTCTTGTGATGGCCAAAATCAAACTGATTAAATCTTTGCGCAGCATAAAACGTAAGACCATTCGGTACAATGGTCTGGAAATCAAGACTATTACTTATTGGCTCTATAGCTCCTAAGTCGATTTGACAACTAATAGTTGTTATTTTCCAACTTGAAGACATTTTCAAGCCCCACCTTTTTTAGGGAAGTTCTAAATTAGTATTATCTTTCAAATGCCATTGGAATTTAACCTTTTCATTTTTGTGGCCTGCAAATGGGACATAGTACCTTTAAGAAATACATCTGGAAATTAACTTGAACCTCCATATTTGTCCAAAATACGCATAAACGGTTTGCATTTTTCAAAGTTTACATTTCAGTTTTTCACATTTCGATGGGGGATTGAAACAAAATATTCATGCACTCTTTTTGAAGCACTAGTCAAATTATGGGTCTTTGGCATTGTGACTATTTTTTCCGGGGCTGCACCACTTAGAAAATAGTGCTATACTATTCAATCGAAGCCTCTGTGTTTGGTACATTTGATTACTGTAATACATGTTTCTAAGTAAATTGAAAGTATCATTACGATAATTGGAAAACTATTCACTGTAGATAAAGGTACCTACTGCCTTGATGGTTTTCATTAATGTCAATAAAGACTTTTGATTACATTAAACAAGTTTCATCATTTGTCATGAACATATGTTGCCAATGGTGGAATACCTGCTGGAAACAATGGTCTGTATTTTGGTAGCAAATAAAACACATGTACTATTTTTGACTTGATGTTATCATTAATTCTTCAAAATTTTAAACAAATCAGAATGATCAATTTAATTACATTGTTATGACAGTGGCATGCTGTTAGGCCGTCCATTAACAAAAAGTTGTTCTTAAGATAATCAAAAACATTTTACATTTTCAATCGTAGGTTTTGCCTCGTTTAAATAACATTTTGAAAAGTAGATGAAATATGAAATATATTACACACAAGAGAGGTAAGTCCTGTAAATTATGTTACAGAATTTAACGGTTTTATTTTTAAATTAAATGCTAAAAATTATGTCTGCATGAGAAACGATTTAATAGCAGGAGACAAACGCGTCAAAGTTTTGCCTTATCTGTTTTTCCCTTTTGGTCCTCAAAAGTTTAACATTACTTTCAGAAAAAAATTGTCATTCAATTCCGACAAGATAAGAAAAACAGAAAAGAGAGATAGAGAAAAATCCAAAGTGAGATAAACATCGCAGCAGACATAAAATGCCCGCCTCATTTTTCGAGATCACTTTAACGGTGACATTTCATCCGAATAGCCAACCACCCGTTGGGGGATGTATGTAATTCGAAGATGGGACGTTCGTTTGGGCGGTTGCGGTAACGTCATCGGATTCCGCAGCTATAGCGCCGTGATGCCACTAAGTACGGGTCGCTTCATCGTAGGGACTGACTATGAGCAGGCATGGTTTTATAGGTTATCACTGCCCGTAATCACCAAGGTTTGTCAATCCATTAGCCAATCTAGTAACGATCCCACTGATGAGGCATGATAAGTCTCTGCAGCTAGAAATAATGGCGAAAAATCCGGTGTAGTCATGCCTGATTCCGAATGTGATGTTAAGATCAGTGTGTTGTTTGCAAAAACATGTCTCCACCATTGGGATGTAAATCGAGAAGTGAAAATGTGATGGTGTGGATAATAGTTCCTTTGGGAAATATTTCATCGTTGCACAATATTTTTCCTGTCGATGTCCTCGTAGAAGCAGTGCACGAATAATGGCGCGTATTATCTGAAATGAGTTCATCTACACCAGACGTATGTAGTCTCACATAATTATAATACACCGGGTTATCTCTGAAGTCTCCAGTACCCGCTTCACATGACGTCTGCGTTCCCCTCATATGACACATTGAGGAGACATGAATAGCCCTGATGTTGGTTAGGAGAACGAGTGCTTTAACACGATTATGATACAATATGGACAAGGCCGGGGTGTTGTTCAGTATTTAGCCCAGCTTTAGCTGGCAAAGATATACTTTATGTTCATGTATATTCCCTGCATCTCACTTTCATCCACATTTTCGCTATTGTCTTGTTTGCAAACAATGGGAGCAGAACCCGTTATACTACCCACTAACGTCTGGACGACGCATTTAATCATCTCGGCTAAGTCCTCGGTTCGTATGCAAACCATCTCACATGCAGTCCTGATTCCCCTAACTTCAGGTTGTACTATGCTAACATTTTACCATCTCAATGGCCTACTGTCCTCGGTTGACTTGCCAACACCGTTCGTTTGATTGATGTTTGATCTGAAATAGATAAGAGCAGTAAGACGTCGTTTAGCTCTATTGCAGTCTCAATATCTTCACGCAGCCTTAATATTCGGCCATCATCAGCGACTCCTGTTTCTACATTCAATCTTCCTACCTCTTCAATCATCGCCGAACGTACTCTTCAACATCAGGGCTTTAATTACACACTTGAAGCCCGAATGATGTTCTCTGCACCAATATGGAACGTGCATTCACCGATCTTGCCATCAGCTTCGAGGTTACTTTCATTTGTACTAATTCATTCTATTATTCCCAACACGTTTTGCTTTTTGATCAGTCACTTGTCTTTACTATTGAACGTCGACCAGGTTTCATACTAAACCATGCGACCGTCACATTCTGTCCATACAAATCCAATCACTTATATTCTGTTCCTATCTTCTTTCCAGAAAAAAAATCTGTCGGGATTTGTTTCGAGCTCACAATTTGGTGTCACAGGTGTTGACAGAAGAGTACTCATTAACGTACTTGCCTGCTTTCCTATAACCGGAGTTTCCGGTCGGTTTCTCGTCGGCACTCTCCTCCGGTTCGACACAGAAGGCAAATACCCGCTTGAAGTGCTTCTTGAAACTGGCCGTGGTAAATGCATATATAAACGGATTCACGCATGAATTTGCGTAGCTGAGACACAGTGAGAAGAAGTGTAGACTACCCAGCGTGATGGGGTTCATCGACGTGGCGTGAACGGGATGAAAGTTGTTCCAGAGTAAAATGCATTGTATGGGAAGCCAGCAGACGGCGAAGAGCAGTACTACGATGAACACCATCCGGGTAATCTTGCGTTTCTGGCGTATGGACCGCTCGTGTGCAGCTGCGCTCTCCGTCCCAGCACTCGACTTGCGCCACACCATGAGGAGGATGTTGGCGTAGCAGACGAGGATGATGATGAGAGGGAGCAGGTACATGGAGATGAAGGAGAAGAGATAGTAATATTTTTCGTTGGCGTTGTCGGGACCCATAGGCATGACGCACATGTTGGCCTCTACCTTGAACGTCTGGTATATCGCAACAGGTAGATGAACGAGGAAGGATACTGAAAGAACAAATAAAACAATAAGAAATTAGTTATGCTATGAATAACACTCGTGTTTGATCTGTTCCATCACATTGGGTAATACGTAGCCAACCGTTATTGGAACTATTGCATCGAGATGTGGTCTGTAGTCATTGAATCGTCGGTTCTAATAGGTCTTTAAAAACTCCTTCTTTCTTTTATTCCCTTTTCTTTCCTCTTACCTCTCATGTAGATACCACTGGAGAAAAAATTCTTTAAAGTAATTCCATTGAATTAATTTATTTATTGTCTCTTTTGCACAATATGTTATGACTCAGGGAGCGTGTGCACCCCTTGTCGGCAGGACCCATCCTTTAGCGAGAAAAAAAACGCTATCATAGATATACATTTCACAGATTCCTTGCTTTTTCATATTTCGATTTTAGATTGTGATTTGTATGTATCCTGCAATGTCAAAATGCAACTGGATACAATGGGTTTTTCCCTTTTACGAATAATTATCAATTCAGCGTCGGCGAACGCTAGTTGCATTGTGATAATGTTATTAATCACTACGACAACCCTTTAGTTATTAGTATCAATATCACACAATTTTCCTAGCAAGAAAATAATATGGCATGTCAAATTTACATCTATTTCGATCTCTCTTTTAACTGTTTAAAGAGTAGTATTTTAATTGAAGTACTCCACACCTACTGGGGAAAGTAAGTGGAAATCGACGAAGGAGGAGAGTATAACCTTGTTAAAGACCCATTTCTTATCTTCATCCAGCTAAGCAAGAAGCATAATCAGCCTTAACAATGCCCTTTCGTATTTAATTTAATTCAAACCAGAAATATATCATATGATGTAATATCAATTTCCATAATATCCATTTCCATTTCGATCTCTCTTTTAACCTGTTTATAAAGGAGTAGTATTTTAATTTGCATTGTCCCTCAATTACCTGGGAAACGTTAGGAGAATTGACAAAGGAGGAGAGCACTGTCTTTTAATGACCTTTTATCTATATTCATCGGCCTAATCATAAAAGTTATAATCAGCCATAATTATGTTTTTTTAATATTTAATTAAAATAAATTCAAGTCTTGAATATTTAATATGAAATAATATGCATAATAACTTGATAGTAAAAATCATTTTGATATACTTAATAGTAAAAATCATCTTGATATACTTGATGGTAAAAATCATCTTGATATACTTGATGGTAAAAATCATATTGATATACTTGATGGTAAAAATCATCTTCATATACTTGATGGTAAAAATCACCTTGATATACTTGATGGTAAAAATCATCTTGATATACTTGATGGTAAAAATCACCTTGATATACTTGATGGTAAAAATCATCTTGATATACTTGATGGTAAAAATCATTTTGATATACTTGATGGTAAAAATCATCTTGATATACTTGATGGTAAAAATCACCTTAATATACTTGATGGTAAAAATCATTTTGATATACTTGATGGTAAAAATCATCTTGATATACTTGATGGTAAAAATCATCTTGATATACTTCATGGTAAAAATCATCTTGATATACTTGATAATAACAAAAAAATTAAATAAAATCCGTGTGATCCGGTGTTGATGTAGTCGAGTGGTTGGATTTTTTTTTGTAAAGACTTTTCGATTCACACCACTCTAACATAATAAGCGTTGAATCAAGTACATCAACAGAAAGCCTTTTCAAGTGATTATCTTTCGCCCTTAGGATACGGAAGGTTAATCCCATTTCCCCAATCTCGACGGTAAAGAAATACATCAGTAGGGAAATGTATAAAAACGGATCATTTATTGCAAACAAATTAAATTTCAAGGAAGCGAGACAAACAACTTTCCGATATGAGTAACTTGACAAGGAAGCCTCCAGTGACTGATGAAAATAATCATGACGGATGAAATAGATATTGCGAATGGTTAACGGCACAAATGGACATACCGTAATGTTGATTTTAACTTCAACTTTTGGAAAAGCTATTCAAAGATATTTGTTGAACAAGGTGTAATTTAAGTATACATTCTTCTTATACTACGCCGTTGGCTGGGCATCTGCGACCGGCTCATCAACTTGGAGATGAGTCCATTGGCTATCGTTGTAAATCATCATGGTCAGGTTACATCTGAGTGGTCTTTAATGGAATCCTCTAGGGTGTTTGATGTCATGGTGACCCAAGAACGCTAGGCAACCAGGTCAAGTTCGGATGAAGAACGAATTTTGTTTTCTTCGTTGACCGTTACCCAAGCCTCAAAGTGACTCGGTAACATTGTCTCAGATTCTAAAACAAAATCCTGGATTTAGCTCATGCTGAAATCATAATTACAAACCTTTAGGTCAGTCAGAAATCCCATGACTTTTACAATCCGACCGCCTGTATGATTATCAAGATATCTATGATTGGAAATCGAAATTTCATCTTCCTAACGGTTTTTATAACACTACAGTCTATTGAGGAAAAAAAGTATGGATAAACCGGTCACTCAAAGATTTTTACTTTTTTGAGGCACTTCATGATCATTTTGTAGCGCAATTTTTTTAGGGCTTCAATATTACACCATATCACAGACACTGATAACACGAAGGGCTATTGATCTCAGATTTAACATTGTTAAACGATACCTTTAACTCTTATAGTTGGTAAATTTACGGGTATATAGTTGAAAGGAAATACATTAAAAAATAGATCAGTGACGTATATGATGAAATATTATATTACAACAAGATAATGAAACGTTTTTTGTTTTTAACCTCTGCACCTTTTTTCCACAATTTTCTTTACACTGGACGACAAAGAGTTTTGCTCTACTTTTTAAATGTGGTTTTGTATATACGTCCGTGTATATAATATTTTTTAATCATTCATCAGTTCTTGAATAGTCCAAAATAACGTACAATTATTCTCAAACGCATTGCGTTTAATGGAGGATAATGCATCTCAGATGCTTACACGATGTATCCTCTTCAAAACGACATACAAGTGAAATCGACTGCTTCAAAGTCATCTCAGATCTTTCGGCTTTAGATAATGATTTTCTACCCTTTTCTCTTTGAACCTCCACACTTAGGCTTAAATGTGTTCGAGGAAACATTCACGATCAAATAATCACCCGCTCAGGGAAGCAGATGGCTATTATTCTCGCAGTGTTAATCGATATTATTAATGTTTTCTCGGGGGTATTGTCCTTTCTGTTCGGTAGCTCGAATCGCTGAGTTACAAGCGATGTAAATCGGCCGAGAGAGGAACGGAGGTACATTTAGAACTTCCCTTATGAAATGATTATCACGATTTATATGGCGCTTAATACGGAACACCGTCTCTAAGCGCGTTACAGCAATTATTACCGCGTAGAAAGTTACACAATTACAAAGATGCAAACCCTTGAAAGCGATAAATCGATTTAAGAACACATCAATTCATGTGGTATGAATAACACCAAAAGCACTAAGTAATCAATTAATGTCGTGCATGAAAATAATACTTATTGCATATTTAGGTCCGGTAATTGATGCGCACGTGACGTGTGTGCAGGTCTTGTAACATCATATTACTGACTGAATAGTTCCTGGGAAATTTTATTCACATACCATGTGTTTTTAATAAGAAAATTGCATCTTAGTCGTCTGTATGTTATGGAACATGACTTAGACTGTGGTGTTCCTGTTTGATGCACCAAATGTAAAGGGAAATTGGTGTGTTTTTTTAAGAGGGCGTATCCCGCTTTCCCGTACGTAAAGGCCCAGGAAAAGAATGTAACTTTCAACACCAATGGGTTTTTCAGGGACAAGGACAAGGGACCCGTGTTCCCTTTTTAGAACCCATCCCTTGCATTTCTTTAAGTCATGTTTTAAGTACATACCATTTTCTGATAATAAATGTACAGTCAATATTTTTTGTCCGAAATTTTTCAGAAACGGATGAAAGACTTTTTTATTAACATAATATGTTAACAAGAAAGTAAACTATATCGTAGTCATGATATCATTAATTTTCTTTTATCATTTTGTTGCAAATGGTAAAACTTTTGCCAGAATCCGATGATTGGTTAGTTCATACTAAATATCATATTTTGTTTTTCCATTGCGTAATCAAAGTGGACTATTTAGATTGGAAATCTTGCAGATCCTCCGCTTTTTTCTCTTCAAGAATCATTGTGAGGAGTTCCAAATTACATGATAATAATTTTTGGCATTTGGTATTGTACTTTATTGTTCAATTTATCGGTTTTCTTTTTATTGTATAATTCAAGACCCACGAAAACCTACTTCTTCCTCTAAACAGGTGGACTGACCCTTTTTTAGGCCAACCAACTCTTGATATAAATACCACAGTCATGACAATTAAAGAGTTATAGATCTTGTATCTGTGACTTAAAGCAGCTGAACATGGGAATACAACAGGGGTTTGATGGAGCAATCAAATCAATCAAACATGCGCTAGATGTCAGAGGAGAGTGCAACGAACGCTTTCAGTTATATTTTTACACTTTGTTTTGTAACGAATGTATTACCAGGGGGTTCCAGCCAGGTGTACACGCACGGGCAAATCACACACGTGTCTCATTAGGGATTTAAACGTCACAATCAAGGAAAGAATGATTATAAATAAGAAAGAAAATGGATGGAAGAGACGCTGCATGAATGTAGTGCCGAAAATAAAAATGATCATTCACCGGTGGCGGTTTCACCCACCAAGTAAATGTCAAGTAATGACTTTTTTATGAAATAAAAAAATGAGAGTATCATTTTCGGTTTTGATATCAGAAGTCATTTCGCCAGACATAATGCGGACCTCGATAATGAACTAAGAAATATTTATATAATGGTTTCAGATCTTAATTTGCCATCGACAAGATGTAAGGATTTTGTTGAAAGAGGATGTAAATATATTATTCCGGAAATAAGGACATTTTGCCCAAGACCCTCCTTGAAATTGCAAACGCATTCAATGGGAGGATAATTGCATGAATCATTCACGACGTCTGAAATGCTCATCATGTTGTACCTCATAATACGGATTGGACGCCGAGGGGATTCTTCCCTCTTTCTTTACCTGATCATACATGTTTTGACTAGTGATGCAGGCACTTGAGGAATGATGGAGGCATCATCAAGTGCGTACATAGTCTGCACTGTAGATCTCGCGGGAAAGAAATGACGAGGGGCTTCTCGTCTTTCCTTGATTTACCTTGGACATGATGGTGGGAGCATTTTGATTCTTGAAAATTTACAAATAAATTAAGATATGAGAAAATGTACCCCTCAGAAAAACACTGCGATTTTCACGTAGTCGAGTGTGTATGTACACTTAGTTACATTGATTCAACGATGGTCATCAAATATGATATGTATTGCTTTAATAGACTGTTACAAGTAGGGGAAATAGATAGAGAGAGGGGGGGGGGGGGAGAGAGAGAGGGGGAGGAGGAGGGAGAAGGAACAGAGAGGGGGCTAAGGGGAATGAGTGAAGAGAGGACTTGGGGAGATACGAAGGAGAACCAAAAAAGAGAGGGAAGAGGTGAGAGGGGATACAAACTTTTGAAAAGGGGAAAGGGAGTTTGACGAAAAAGAGAGGGGAGAAAAAGATATTGTTAATGACAGGAAGAGAAAGAAAGAGAAAGAGAGTGGAGAGGGAGGGAGAGAGAGAGAGAAAGAGAGGGAGAGGGTGGACATATGAGCGGACAGTAGACAAACAAGGGTAAAGCCCCAGTCCCATATAAAGCCGGACCAGCACGGACGAGCACGGACCACTCCGGACCATCCCGGACCATGGTCTGGGGGTGATCCAGGATGGTCCGGGATGTTTTGTTCAAAAAATCGCAACCGCCGACCGTCTCCCCGGACCCAACACGGTACCACTACGGACCGCCCCGGACCGTCCGGGCATAGCCCCGGCAGCAGTACAGATCATTCCAGACCCAGCACGGAGCCGCCACGGACCGTCCCGGACCATCCCGGTGCCAACACGGTGCCAACACGGATGACACCGGACCATCCCGGAACGCCCCGGTGCTGGTCCAGGGTGATCCGTGTCGCCACCGTGCTGGGTCCGGGATCATCCGTAGGGGCGCCGGGGTGATCCGGGGTCAATAACTCACTCCCGGACTGCCACGGATCAACACGGACCGCCCCGGCGCCACTACGGATGACCCCGGACCCAGCACGGTGGCTACACGGATCACCCCGGATCAAACTATTGTCCCGGACCGTCCCGGACCACCCCGGCAGTTTTTGACCGTCAAAAACATCCGGGGTCGACTCCCGGACCGCCCAGGACCATCCAGGACCATCCAGGACCATCCAGGACCATCCAGGACCATCCAGGACCACCCCGGTGCCAACACGGTGTCAACACGGACCGAATCCCGGATCACCCCGGATGGGGTCCGGGATGGTCCGGGACGGTCCGGGACGTATATGGGACTGTAGCTTAAGGATATATTTATTATATACTATTTATTTTTTTTTAAATGAGGGAAACAAACTTATAGTAGGTACCATTCGAGTACACTCATGTTATATTTAGGACACTACTCACCCAGCCATATGGAGACGTTGATAAATACAGCCTTATTGGTGGTTCTAGTTGTACGTGATTTTACTGCATGAACGATTAGAATATACCGATCGACGGACATAGCAGTGAGGGTGACGCATGTTGCTTGGACGGTAACCTGCATTACAACGAAGAAGAAAAAAAGGAAAACATTATTAATAAATAATAAATAACAATATTGAGGTCTTTAAAAGCGCTCGTGTTTGACACACTGCCACTCCTTGTACTCCATTATTATTACATCGTCTGTACCACAGCTGCCACTGCAGTGCTCAAGCATGTTAACATTTTAATTAATTCTTGCCAGGTACCTCATCTAGGTGGAGAATGGCAAATGTGCATTAATGTCTTGTCATTGACGCTGTGACAGTGATTCGAAGCCCGGACCTTGTGGTTCACATTCTGGAGTTGCTCTAAATGTGCCAGCAGAGTTGAACTCACCATTCGAAAAAACACATTTGGCAATTGAAGTCATCCTTGATAATTTAATTCTTGAAAGTATTTGAGATCATGATGAAAATTCCGAAAAAGGAAGGGAGGAAGATAAAGAGAAGAAGGAAAAAGAAAGAACAGAAAGAGGAAGAGAGAGAGAGAGAGAGAGAGAGAGCGAGAGAGAGAGAGAGAGAGAGAGAGAGAGAGAGAATATTGAAGAAAATAGGGACAAGATAATTTCATTATTTTCCCCTTTTATTCCTTTATAGTACACATAAATGTCTCTCCAATATATAGGCCTACAATAGTAATTAGTAGTAGAAGAAATAGTAGTAGGTCTAGTAGCATAGGCCTATATTAGTAGAATTAGTAGTAGAATTAGTAGTAGAAGTAGTAGTATAGTACGCCTAATAGTAGTGCTAGTAAAGAGAGAGAGAGAGAGGGGGGAGGAGGGGGGGGGGGGAAGGACGAGAGAGAAAGAAGGAAAAGAAGGGGAAAAAAGCTATTACGTGCGGGGAACAAGTGGACGACACACACTCCAGGCCTACCGATGAAGGAATGAAAAAGCTTTGCGGTTGCATGGTAACTTGGGACGTCTTAATAAGAAACTCCCTATTTTGACACGAAAGGAAATGAAATGCACACGGAATCTCAGAATGGAGTGGTATACAAATACAAGTCTTCAAGCTTTCACATCGTATTTATTCTACATGTCAATCCCAATCATGGATAACGCGTTGAATGGATTTCAATTCGCTCGCAGCAGACGCCTCACATGTATTTGAAGAAAAAAATATGGACAGTGTAAATACCCAGACACTTGGTTTATAAACTGCTTTGAGCGTGAGCCTTGGTTTACTAGTATTAGACAGAGTTTTCGAATTTTTAAGGATTTATGGAATTTTCTCTGTTAAAATTGTTACTCTAAAAAAAGCCTTACTTGATTTTTTTTTAAAATTTTGTTTCATTTTTATAATATATTTTTCTTTCATTTACCACACCGTGTTATATAAATATGCGCCCTTTTTATGATTGCATGGTGCAGCTTAGAGACCATCTTGGATTTTTTCATTGTCCCTTTAAAGCGAAGGAAACATCTCATCTGCGCGCACTCGTTCCGCTATAAACAAACCAAATAAAACATTTATACGGTACCAAGGTCCGCCGGTGTACACACTTATCGTGTTGACGATGCCTCCATTACCTGGATACGTGTAGTAAGGTAACAATGGGGTAACTCCTCACATCATGTCGTTTATAACGTACATTCCACGAGAGCCTTGGTTCAATTTTCTCTTTAAGGTGAATGGGGGGAGGGTGGTAGGGTTTTACAATCGTTAACAAAAGAAAGGAGGCTTGTAAGCAGTTGTCGGCCTTTCATGCCTTCTTAAGAAAATATCATATTTATGTCAGTTCAGAAATTTGCTTCTTTTACTATTTTTCCTTTTTTTAAGGTAACTTTATTGACGCATTTGTTACGCTTCCATCCAATCCAATTCAAACTAAAATATATTTGATATAGCGCCTTTTCCTTGCAGTTACAAAGCGCTGCACACACGCTCCAGAATGTTTGGGCCACTTAAAAACAAAAGTTAGACACTTCCCGGAGATCAGTAAAGTATATGTAGGCTGGTAATAAAGTAATTTCTAGCAGAAAAGATGTGGCTTGAGTAGTTTCTTGAACTGTTCAACATATGAGGCCGTCTGCACAGCAGTAGGTAGCTGGTTCCATAAATCCTGCCTTTACAAAAATATCAATCCACACTTTTAGCTTATGCCTATAAGTTATTTTTTGTCATTTTGCTGGTGAATAAATCGTTATAACAGAATAATTCGATAATTGTTTTACGTCCTATCCTGTGATTCCAGAAGTGAGAATCGACGCCTAAAATTAAGTTTCGAACTCGGGACCCATTGATTTCATTACTGCGCTGCTCTATCCAGTGAGCTATCCCAAATATGATTACAATTTTCACCATCACTGTTACCATAGTTACCTATAGTGATGAGGCAAGATAAAAGGAGACCCATCTGTGAAACCTATCAAGATGCTGCAGTTCGTGATCTCCTCCTGAATAACTGGCCTAACAAAGAGTACAAGGCAATTTCTGACGGCCATCTGTAACAGCTTCAATCCTGATATCTACATTAGGCAGTCAAAGTTTATTTTAAAAGGGTTCATGGTGTTTTTCTTTTTGATCTACATCAACGTTACTACCCGTGGACAAAATTCCACTCCGAATTGAATAAGCAATTCTAAAGCACGTGCAAGGCATCCAAAATTGCAATGCCAAACACAGCTATGTGCATTGCAATCGGGGTAATATGTTTAGAAAAGGATGGGAGTTGGGTTATCAAGTCGACTTCATCATGTTCATGTTCAGATGTTTAGACTGGGGATATCATTGTAAACCTGAGCAGCGCCGTTAGCTTATTGTCTTCAACAATTTTAAAGAGGAACATAAGATAGTTCTGGCGTTATACCTGTTCTGAGGGGCACATCATCACGTGACATTCTTAACACAGTATCTTTAACCTTGTCATCAACCGGGGAAATAAGAACCATACCCTGTAGCCGCGAACCATTCGCCCTTAAACTAAGCATGCAACTGTAATAAAGATTGTAAACTGTGAAAAAAAAACCTTTTCTCTCCATTGCCCGATGTAATGCCACGAAATCCCACATTTTGCCGAGATATCTACTTCTATAATTGCGCGTCGCACCAATTTCCCCCAAACCCGGAGAAAGTGGGGGAGTAGAAACGTGACGAAACTGTGTCAAGTATGGTCGATTTGACTTGGCCGATTTTATTTCTTGCTACCTCACAAAATACTAACATTCAACCTCTTATGACCTACAATTCAATGCAAGGAGCTCCTACAATTACTTACACGGCTTCTCCTTTTGTGAGTTTAATTACATTTAGATCGTCAGCATGCATGAGTATGAAACGGAGTTCTGTAATAAGTGAGAAATCAAATACGCACGCGCGTCAAAATCTGTTCTGAAATAATATCGAAGAAACGAGATCAATTTATATTTCACCTTTCGGCAACAGGAGGGCCAAACTGGTGGCTTCAACTCAATAATAAACAAGGTCTTTGATGTCTTTTATTTTATGCATACGGTACAATTCATCTAAAATGTCTGATCTTTTGTAGTTTCCACCTCAGCAAACCACTCCCACATAGACTCAATTTCTATTTGATGAAAGCATGAAATTTGATTTGTTTTCAAGGGGGACACTGATTTTGTCTCGTTTATTGCCTAGCCTTCTTTACATGTAAACGTCATGTTGTCTCCTTCATTCATCCCTATCTCCTTATCTCTCTTTTCTTTTATCTCTTTTCTCTTCCCCTTTTTATCGAATTCAGTGCGGCCTAAACTGAAAAACATGTAAAGGTGAAGATGCTTTTAAAGCAAAGACTTGAAAATATGAGGTGCAGTTGTCTTGCAGACAACCGATCGATACTCGTCGATCATCTTCTCTCTTACGCCTTGTCTCGATTTGGAATAAATTACACGTACATGTAATGGTTTGGAATGCAAACTACCCTACATGCTTAAGGCGATATAACCAATTTCTCGTCAAAATAAATATCAGAACAAAGAAATGTACCATTTAACAGATTTTCTTTCGTTGTCAGGATGGCATGCATATAAAAGAAAAAAAATCATCAAAGATATCTAAATGAACATTGCAAATAAGTTGTAATGATTAAGAAGAAGAGGAAAAGAAGAGAAAAAAGAAGAAGAAGAAGAAGAAGAAGAAGAAGAAGAAGAAGAAGAAGAAGAAGAAGAAGAAGAAGAAGAAGAAGAAGAAGAAGAAGAAGAAGAAGAAGTAGAAGACGATGAATAGAACATCCCCTGAATCCAAAGCATCACCAAAAATTAAAAATAAATAAAAATAAAAATAACTTATTATGGCACCGTCACCAATACCCTTGTGCGCCACTTTTATAAACCTTACAACAGTATATACCATATCCCGAACGTGATTTCTATAAATAATACAATACACTATTTAAAAAAAATGTTCTTTATGAGGTTTCTTGAAAGTTTTCGCGATACATTCAAAACATACAAGCGAAAAATGGGTAGGAGGAGGTTCGACTCAGGAGTATTAACTCATTATAACTCAGGAGCTAATTGATGAAATGAAAAATAAGTAAGAGAAGAAGAAGAAAGGGGAACGTTTATGTTGAAAGAAAATGATAAAACTACATATAATGATATCATTAATAATAATGATAATACTAATAATAATGATATTATTTAATAATTGCGATAACAGTAATACTAATAATGATAATGATTTTTTAAAAGGAATGATAATAATGATAATAGCGATAATGAAAGTAATTAATAGTAAGAATAATGAGAAGAAGAAAAAGAAGAAGTAATAGTCGATGTGTTGTAACTGAAATATTACCAACATAGGGCCAAGGTATATGTTACAAAATGGTGGTACAAACCAATTCTATCAATGCAAAGAAGATAGGCAAAAGACAGATGCTGAAACCCGGCACACTAGCCTTCTTCTCCTTGTGCCTTTTCAAATCCCAATCATGACATTGGTCATTAAAAGAAAATCGAGGACCAACAAACTAATGTTACAAATAAAATAGAGAGGGGAATCTAGACGAGAGGTAGGTCTGGCCTCGTTGACAGCGTCCCCCCCCCCCCCCATTGAAGTGGATCTCATTACCAACTACAAGTGTTATTGGTAACAAGGCACACCCCCCCTTGAGGGACCTCTGTAGCTATCACTCACCGAGCAGTCTATCTATAACCAGTCCAACAGGTGAGCACACACTTTGAAGGCAGGGGTAATGAGATCTCTACTTCTTGATGAAGATGACTGTTTGTG